TTTAAATCCTAATATCTAATAACTTAATTAAATAAGACAAAATTAAAATTTTATTTTGAAAAAATAATTTATTAATATTTATTTGATGTATTAATCTTTTTGCATTAGACCATATTTTATAATAATTCTTAATAAAATTCACTATTCCAAATTATTGTAGCAATATAATATTATAGAATTTATTATTAAGAAAAATTTTTATTATAATAAATTTTATAAATTGCTATATAAAATTTATTTTTAATAAAATATTAAGAAATAATTATAATAAAATTTCAGAATTAACTATAAAATAAGTTATATTTTTTAGTAAATTATAAATTAAATTATAATTTTTAAATTATTATATCTTATAATTTTATTTTAACTTAGAAATAATAGAAGCTTATTTTAAGAAAATTTTGAATAAAAATATGAAAATAAATTAAAAAATATTAATATATAAGTTCATATACTAAATAATTAAGAGATATTATTTCTTATTTTGAATTAGTAACTTATTTAATAATAAAACTTTTATTTTAGCAATAAAATATTATTAATAAAAATTGAATATTTAAAAATTATATTATATAAGTTTTAAATATTTAATAAATATTATTTATTTATTTATAAATATTTTTCTTTATTATATTTTTAATATAAATTAAAAATTAAGTTAGTTATTATTATGAATAATATTTTGAATAAGTTTACTTTTATTCAAGAATTTAAATAAAATACTTAGAATAAATTATGAATTAGATTCAGAACTTTTATAATTTTACTACCTAAAATATATATTAAATCTAATTATATAAGTTATATCTATAAAAAAGATAAAGTTGATAAGATATTTTAAATTTTATATATAATCAAATCTCTTTATAGTTACTATGCTTGGAAAAGCAAATTGGATGACTATAAAGAAATGTGACTATAAAGAGGTTTTTTAATTATGGTTGCATGTAATTAATAACTGAAAAACTCAAAAAAGTTGATTATAAAAAAATATAACTATAAAAAGATGTGACTATAGAGAGATCTGGCTATATATTAATCAGGATTGGTTCTTGAACAGTATGAACAAAAAATTAGTAATTTAATTATATAAATATTTGGATAACTCTGATTTATGATATATATTGTTTTCAAACTTTCTGATGACTTAGAAATAAAGCAAATTTGGTTTAAAAAACTATATTGCTAAATTTCTAATTTATTTATTAAAATTAATAAAAATATAAAATTTATTATTACCATAGAAATCCATCAAAAATAATTATCAAATAATTCTAGATAGATATAAGTCTTTAAAAGTTAATCTCTTATAATATTTTTTACTAGTTAGAAATTTAGATAAATAAAATTATTAACATTAATATTGATCATTTAATGTTTAATACACAATGTAAACATCTGCCTACTCCCACACATGATAATCGAGTCGAAAACTTATGGGTCCACCATAAACTTCTGGTTGATTCACTAGTTTCAAATTCTCTTGAAGTTTGTCGAGGGATGCTTTTTCATAATCTTGTGGATTTTTCTGGAATTGTATGTTAACAGATTTGTCTTCGTTTACCAAAACAACCACATGTAAATTTAGATTGTCACCCTTCTCCATTGAGGAGAAGTGCTTTACAACCACCATATCTAACTCATCTACGTAATTAGCAAGCGAATTAATTGTAATTCGTTGTGTCATTTCATGACCAGTCAAAAGAACCATTTTATCCATTTTCACGATATCATTATTCCTTGACGCCTTTTTAAGAGGTTTTAGTTCATCACTCATGGCCTTCCATACCAACTTAAATTGTGTATTATCATCGATTGATGCAGAAAATGTTTTACAAGAACAAAGTGCTTCACACAACTGATAGTATGTCTCGTTTGTCAATATTAAACTAAATCCATCTTCGATCATTATTAATTGATTCTTGTCTTGTGCTGGACAAAATAAAATGAAACAACCGGCCAACCGTCTTGAAATGTCATTTAAACTGATTGCTGTTGGTTGCTTTAAACCAGATTGCCAAATTAGGCAAGAATCTGCATTATCATCAAGTCCAGTGAAAATTGCAATCGGCTTTTCTGTTCCTACTTGTTCTATAAATTTTTTTGTCATTTCATGAGAGCTAGGAGAAATCTGCAACATGATGCATTCTTTCGCTTGATCCCCTGTTAATTTCGTCACACTTGCGCCTGTAATGCTTGTGGAAAGAATATGGTTTATTATACTCGTTTTAAAATCAGCCATTGTCACAACACTTTTACAGATTCTTTCATTCCAGGGTGGGAACGGGAAACACTTCTCCTTATAACCCCTCTTGCCCAGCAAGCGAAGTATTCCATAGTTCTTGCATACCTCGTACTCCTCATCGGTGACTAGAACAGCATGCAAAGTATCTTTAGATAAGTGAACTCCTGGCAGTGCTTGCTGTCTTACGTAAATCAGGGTATTCATATCCTGAGAGCTCAAAAACCCAGGCGCAAACCTAGTACCCATTCCGATATTTAATGTTGTTCCAGCGCACACAAGATTATATATAGTATGAAATGCCTTTATAGGCATCATAGGAAAATTAGTATTGTCCTCGTTTTCATTGCGACAAATGGTAAAAGATATCTATAAAAAGCAAGTCCCGAAGTTACATAAGTATAGCATGGTCTGTTACGAATAGTATGGAGATAAATTAATGCTTGAAACTGGTTAGAGACAATATCCACAATAATTGGAGGCGTTTGAGTAGACGATGACATGGAAAAAACTATATGAAAATAAAGAATATACTCTAATTTGTGTTATTTTTCAAAGTTAATTAAACTTTCGTTAGTTATATTTATAATTATTTAAATAAATTAATTAAAGGCGGAGTTAAGAAAAAGAATTGGAGTTAATTTGTTTATACATGTAGCACAAAATTAACGAAAAAATATTCGGAGTTGATTTTTTGAGGATTTATTTTGTTATCGTTATACATGTACATGTAGCACAAAATTAAAGAAAAAAGAATCGAAATTAATTTTTTGAGAATTTGTTTATACTAATACAAGTAGCAGAAAATTAACGTCGGAGTTTAAACTCCGAATTAAACGTAGTACAAAATTAAAGAAAAAAATAGTTGGAGTTTGTTTTGTTCTACATGTAGCACAAAATTAAAGAAAAAGGGATCGGATTAAATTTTTTGAGAATTTATACATGTAACACAAAATTAAAGAAAAAGAGTTAGGATTTAATGAATCGGCGGCGTTTGTTTATAGCACAAATTAATTTAAAGAAACATGAGTTTTTAAGCGTTTGTTATAGCACAAATTGATTAAAGAAAAAGAATCGGAGTTAATTTTTTAATAAATCAGCATTTGTTATAGCGCAAATGATTTGCACACAATACCATTTAACGGAGAATTGTATATACGTAGCACAAGATTAAAGAAAAAGAGTTAGGATTTAATGAATCGGCGGCGTTTGTTTATAGCACAAATTAATTTAAAGAAACTGAATCTTCGTCGAGTTTTTAAGCGTTTGTTATAGCACAAATTGATTAAAGAAAAAGAATCGGAGTTAATTTTAATC